CTGATGATGTGCCCTGTAAACTTTCACTCAATGCAAAATAAAAACATTTAATTTAAAAAAAAAAAATGAAGGCAGCCAACATGAAGCAAAGAGCCACAATAGAACACAGTCGATCCGATAGTAATGTTCAGTAGAATTAACAATACCAAAGAGCAAACGCTGTCAGCAGTCTGACATTTAAATGACTGGGTGGGGCGCTCTCTGATCTCCCACTCCGCCGGCTTGAATGGGCCAACGGGGATGGGACAGGATTGTGATTAGCAAATCTGGAGCTCAGACACTGGACACCAGGTGGGAGATACTGTACCAGAAATGCGATCTGGGAATGAGTTAGTCAACCCAGGTAACGAGAAAAACCACCACAGGAGGTGAGTTAGTCAGCCCAGGTACAGAGAAAAACCACCACGTGAGGTGAGTCAGCCAACCCAGGTACAGAGAAAAACTATCACGTGAGGTGAGTTAGTCAGCCCAGGTACAGAGAAAAACCACCACGTGAGGTGAGTCAGCCAACCCAGGTACAGAGAAAAACTATCACGTGAGGTGAGTAAGTCAGCCCAGGTACAGAGAAAAAGGCGGCCTGACATGAGAGGTATGCAGGGGGGGTGGGGGGGCAGCAGGCACCGGGGGCACTTCTCTCTCATGGATCTGGCTCTGGGTCCCCAAGCCAAGATCAGCAGGTTTGCTCTTTCTGGTTTCTGCTGTCCAGAGCTCACACCAGAAAGAACCTGCCCGCAGCTGCCTGTCTCTCCAACTGGAAGCTTCAGGAAAGCCTGCGAGTCTCCACTTCTTTTCCTGTTTTATTTGACCACTGAATCTCCTCTTCAAACAGAATCTTCCAGGGCAGAACAATGTTGAAAACACAAAGTTGTTCTCCTCAGCCCACATGGATGAAGGGATATGACCCTCCGCCCCAGTCAGCAGCCCCTTCTTCAGCCTCTGAGGAAACTGAGGTACAGCGCAGTGACATGACTTGCCTCGTGATCCGCAACAGGAACAAAACCATCCCACTGTCTCGAGCCGGTTTCTCTTTGGCATTTTCTTTGAAAGTCACGCTGTTGTTGTTGTTAAGATGCCATCGAGTTGGTTCCGACTCACAGTGACACATGAAAACAAACCCTAGCTGCTCCTGCACCGTCCTCTCAACTGCTGTTACATTTTAGCCCAGTATTGCTGCCACTGCATCAATCCGTCTCAGGGAGGTTCTTGCTCTTCTCTGAGCCTCCACTTTGCTCAGCATCACGTCTTTCTACAAGGACAGGTCCCACCTGATAATATGTCCAAGGAACGAAAGACAAGGGCTCACTGTCCTCACGTCTAAGGAATTTCCAAAGAGCTCCTTGGAATCATTCATGCCTGTGCTGGGGAGTTATTCACTAACCAACAAGCATTCACCGGGAGCCCCCAAGTCTTTGCCAGAATCTACATGAGGGGTTGGTGACAAATGGGTGGCCAACAAAGATGAGGTCCCTGCCCTCTTGGGTCTCCATTCTCATGGGGGAGGTGCATCACCAACAAGGGAATAAGCAGGGAGCAGAAGCAGGGTGTGCCGGGACAATGCAGAGGATGAAGAGGGAAGCAATGAGTAATTTCTCTTCGATGGACACAGCTGCATCCTCCTCCATCCAACGGTCCTGCTAACAAGCATGTCAGTGAATTCTGAAGTGGGTCCTCTCGTGTCTGGTCTCCAGAGGATACATGGCACCGAGACGGCGGCCACGTGGGTCAGAGTCCCAACGAACAGCAACATGAAGCAACAGAAACAACAGTCTTGTTGTTTGAAGTCACTGAGTTTGGGAGTAACTGGGTACAGAGGAGATGATAACCCGGGCACTCTGGCTCGGACGTTGGAGAGGAAGGGTCAGAAGACGACGAGAAGGCTTCTTAGTGGTGTGAAGGTGGGTGGATGCCGTGGCAAGCTGAGACTCGGCATTATGCTTCAAAGTGAATTAGCAGCATCGTCTGTTTTACTTGAATAATCACCTTTCTGCAGCAGCGGATGCTTTCAGCTCCGATCCTGATTCTGAGGCAGTCTGCATAGCAGTTTAAATCAGCACCAGATCAGAGAGGAGCGGTCACCCCAAGACTGAAGCACAAATCCCCCCTTCTACAGCACACAGGTCTATAAACAGCTTCCTACACCAAATCTTTAACAAACTCGTTCTATGACAGTCATTATCTCAAAAGCCTATCATCCTTAAAAAAACAAAACAAAAAAACCAAGCCTGTTATCAATGAGTCCACCCCAACTCACAGACCCCGTGTGACACAGCAAAACTGCCCACTGGATTTCCAAGGAGTCCTGGTGTGGTGGCACTGTGGGTTAATGCACTGGACTGCAAAGTTGGTGGGTGGTTCAGCTCACCAGCTGCTCCTCAGAAACCCTATACAGGGTCACTATGGGTCGAAACTGACCCGATGGCATTTAACTACAAATCTTTACAGGGACTCCTGCTATGGCGCTGTAGGATCAGCAATGGGCTGTGAACCACAATGTCAGCAGTTCGTTTAAACCTACCAGCTGCTCCTCAAAACCCTATACTGGGGTTGCTGTGAGTTGGAACCAACTTGATGGCACTTAGCAACAACAATCTTTACAGAGGAAGCACAGTAGCTGTATAGGATAGGCACTGGACTGCGAACCATAAGGTCCATGGTTCAAGCCTGCTAGTCACTCCATGGGAGAAAGATGATGCTTTCTACGCCTGCAAAGATTTAAACCTTAGAGGGTTGCTATGAGTTGGAACCAACTTAACAACAACAATCTACAAAAGCAGACTGCCCCATCTTTCTCCTACGGAGCAGCCAGTGGGTTCAAACTGCCAGCCTTTCAGTGAGTAGCAGTCCAGTGCTTAACCGCTGAGCCAAGAGAGCTTCTCAATCTCAATAGTCCTTATTGTTCATTAAGTGCTGTCGAGTTGGTTTTGACTCACAGTGACCCTGTATAGGTTTCCAAGGAGTGACTGGTGAGTTTAACCCACTGACCCTGAGATTAGCAGTCCAGTGCTTATCCTACAGTGCCATACGGGGCTCCTAAACAGTTGCTGAAGCTAAAATAAATCTTTCAGTATAATTAGTGTACTTAACAAAAACTTGGATAGAATCTCATTTTTATGATGAAAAAGTACAAAACAAATAGACTTGATTTAAAATGAATGACAGCCTGCGTATCCGCCTTCAATCTATCTTCTCTGGGGACTACGGACAACTTGTTGGCAGCACACTTCGTTCTTCAAGCACCTGGATCTGCCTTGGGGTTCGGCAATACAGGCAGGTGAGGTGGTCTTTGGTCTCATCTTAATTTTAATCAAGGCTCAATTACAAATATTTGAATCTCATGAAGTTGATTTCTAGAGAAGGGGTGGGGAACCTTTTTTCTGCCAAAATTTAGAACATAACTTGCAGGCCATATAAAATTACCAACTTTAAAATTAGCCTGCTATATTTGGCCAAACGTTTGACTCGCCCCTAATGTTATGGTGTCCTGGTGTGGCACTGTGCATTAATGCGCTGGACTGTAAAGTCTCTTTGAACTAGAAGATTGCGGTTCTAGCTCACCAACTGCTCCTTGGAAACCATATACAGGGTCACTATGGGTTGGAACTGACTCAATGGCACTTAACACCAATGTTATGGCCGAAACTGCAGTTGCCCTGGCAGGGCTAGACCAGATGATTTAGTGGGCCTTATG